CACTGTCTGACGTCTCCCTCCACCTTCTTCTCTGCTGTCCATTCCCCAGGGAGGAGGCTATACTTAGATTCTTGTAATTGGTTCCAAAATGATTTTTTTTTAAAAAGAAACTTACAGGATCACATCACTGAAAGATACCTGGCCCGCTGGTGTGAGAGATGAAAGGGAAGCTTGCTTTTCAGTGTACACCATTTTGCTCTATTGAAACTTCCACGTTGTGCACATATGTAACTAAATCAGAAATTGACAATGTGAGTAAAAACAAAATGATTCAGGTGAAAAAGAAAAAATACTATAGGACGAAGTAGAACTGCCCCTGTGGGTTTCCAAAACTGTAATTCTTTCGGGAGTAGAAAGACTCTTTCTCCCAGAGAGCAGCTAGTGGTTTCAAACTCCAGACTTTATGATTGCCAGTTGAACTCATAGCCCAGTACACCATGGGACTCCTGTATAATGTTATGTGCTGTGCATTCCATTTAAACTCGTAGCAGTCTTATGTTAAATTTCATGAATATGGTAACGCTCAGTCAACACCATTGACTTGATTTCGACTCAGCGACCCTGTAGGGCAGGGCAGAACTGCCCAATTTCGGAGACTAACTCTATAGGAGTAGAAAGCCTCTTCTTTCTCCCTTTGTAGTAGCTGGTGGTTTCGAACTGCTAACCTTACAGTTAACAACCCAACACAATACCACCTTTTCTGATTTAGAGGTGATGTGTCAAAATTTCAGCCAAAGTACACATGCTGTTAGGTGCTGTCGAGTCTGTTCTGTGTACAACAGAACAAAACAATTGCCTGGTCCTGCGCCATCCTCTCCATCGTTCTTATGTTTGATCTCATCGTTGCAGCCACCGTGTCAATGCATCTTCTCAATAGCCTCCCTCTTCCGTTACCCCTCTACCAAGCACAGTGCCTTCTCGGGACTGTCCAAAGTATGTGAGACCAAGTCTCACCATCCTGGTCTCTAAGGAGCATTCCAGCTGTACACAGAGGGCATGTGGAAACAAGAGCCAGTGTTAGCAGGGTGTTCAGCATTAGAATAACTAAAAGTAAATAGATTTAAATAACTTGGGTTAGGGACTCCCATCTATCTGCCTTTTCCTCCAAATTTTTGTTGTAATGTGTGATAATTGCTTTATCTTGTGTTTTACAGATTTGATAATAGAACAGAAGCATCTTTTTAGAATAATTGGAATTCTTTCAAACTCATAATCTGCAAAATCACACAATACTATCACTTCCTTTTACAATAATAGTATAATTCAACATGTGGTTTTAGAAGTAAAAAATTTTAGGTTTTGAAATTTGAATTGGCCCAAAGTAGTATCTAGGGGATGATACTTTGAGCTAACTGATTCCGATCTGCTCAGATTATGTAGAGATGTTAAATAAGGTTTCTATTTTTCTAATGCCGATTGGAGCTACATGTACGAAAGCAGACTAGAAGCTTCAGGCAGTGAAATGCAACACAGCAGGGTCATCTATTTTATTTCTTTTTGATGATAATGTTCATGGGCAAAATGTACATCAAATAATATGTTTGCCCAAAGTGTAATTGCAATTCTTGATAATACGGCATCAGCTTTTGAACAAAACTATTAAAATTGACAGCAAATTGGGACTTTGGTGTTGTCAGATCATCCTTTGCAAATCTGTGTCCTTCAAAGCTTGTGCAGGTGTCAGCTGTGTCTGTTTCTTTCATAGAGGAGTGAACGTCGTCCCTTTTCTAGAGCTCATTGGGTTACCGGACGGCGTAGTGAACATTCTCAAAAATTCACAGAGTGGAAATGCGCTAACAGCATATGCCCTGTTTAAGGTAGGTACTGTTATAAACAGATTGCTCCCACGCTTAACCCCATAAGAATCGATTTTAATCCTCAATAGTTATTTTTTGAAACTAAGCACAATGCATTTGATCTCTTAGATAGCTAATAAAGTGTAAAAAATTTTTAATTATACATAATATCTTGTTTTAGGAAAAGTTCCTTCAAAATAGGCAGAGGTTTTATTTCCAGGGTTGTTAGTGGCCATCAGTCAGTCTACTTCAACCCAACAGCAACCCTTTGTGACAAAGTAGAGCTGCTCCATCGAATTTTGGGGTGTAATCTTTGTAGGACCGAGCTCTGATGGTGCCATGGTTAAGGGCTTGGCTGCTTATCGAAAGGCTGGTAAGTGGAAGAAACCAAACCAAACTCGCTGCCGTCCAGTCCATGCTGACTCCTAGTGACCTCTGTGAGGAACTCTCGACGGGAGCAGGAAGCCGCCTTTCACTGAGGAGCTGCTGGTGGTTTCACGCTGCCAACAAACCGAGACCGTGATTTGTTTCTATAAGGAAACTTCAGGGCACTTCTACTTTGTCCTTTATGAGTTTGAATCCACTTGATGAACTCAACAGTGGTCTTTATAGTTACAGGGAGCGGTGTGTGTCTTCTGGACAGCCACTGGACAGATTTGATTAGCAACTCAGTTTTTGAACATTGTACCACCTGGATTTATTTCCAGGGTAGTTTTTAATCTCATTTTCTCAATTGACAAGTTATTTTACAAGTTATTTCTTCATCACTGACATAAACTCAGTACTAATTAAACAGTAACTCCCTTCACCCCTCCTATATCTAGTAACTACTAAAATGTTTTTATGTCTATTTGTTTGCATGTTTGATCTAACAGAGCATAAGTATTTCTCTTTTTGTGACTTATTTCACTTAGCACAATATTTTCAAGGTTCATTTTGATGAATAATACTGTTTTATATGTGTATTTCCATTTCCTATAGTCTTCTGTTGTGGGCATTAAACTTGTTTCCATCTTTTGCTCTTGGGAATAATGTTGCAGTAAACATTGTGATGGGTTTCGGTTGGCAATCCTGCTTTTTAAGTTCTCGAGGTGAGATCACCGTTCCCACAGCTTTTGGAGGTCCCACCAAACTGTTTCCCACAGGAGTGGGCCATTTTGCATTCCCACTAGCAGTAGATGCAAGTTTTGATTTCTCCACATCCACTTTGTTGTTTAATCACGGCCATGGGGGGAGGGATGAGATGGCATTTCCTTCTTTTGATTTGTAGTGTCACTGTCTGATAAGTGTGGAAGTGCTAACTGCATGGTCGGTGTTTCAAACCCACCAGCTGCTCTGCTGGGAAAGATGAGGCTGTCTGTTTCTGTAAAGACGCGCGGCCTTAGAATCCTATGTGAGGCCACTAGGAGTAGGAATCCACTTGATGGCATTGAGTTAATGGCTACTCCACAGCAGCATGTAATGGCTAATAGCACTGAGAATCTTTTCAAGTGTGTGTTGGCCATTTGAAGCCCTGGTAGTGTAGTGGGTAATGCATTGGGCTGCTAACCACAAGGTCAGCAGTTCAAAACTGCCAGCCACTCTAGGAGATAGATGAGAGCTTCTACTTTCATAAAGAGTTACAGTCTCAGGAACCCGCAGAGGCAGTTCTACTTTGTCCTGTAGGGTCCCCATGACTCAGAATTGACTTGATTTTGGTTTGGTTGTCCATTTGTTTATATTCTTTTGTTAAATATCTGTTCATGTCCCTTGCCCATTTGTGATTGGCTTGTCTGGTTAAGTAGTAGAATATTTTTAACATTAGACTTTTCGGATATATGGTTTCCTGAAAATTTTCCCAAATGCTATAGATTAACACCTCACTGTTGATAAAGTCCTTTTTTTAACAATCTACTTTGTATTTTACTGTTCATACTCCTGTTGTCAAATCTGTTAGTTGATTATTTTAAAAGCCAGATTTAGCCATAGTTTTCTTCTATGACTTTATAAGAGTGTAGTTCTCACCTTTAGGTCCTTGATTCATTTTAATTTGGGCTTTGTTTGTCTATATGGCTTGAAGCATGGATCTTGCTTCATTCTTTTGTCTGTAGAAATCCAATTTTCTAAGTACCACTTATTAAAAAGACTCATTTCCCCATTGGATAGACTTACCACTCTGATTGAAAAATCAGTTGATATATGGGTTTATTTCTGAACTTACAGTTCCATTCCATTGCCCTATACTTTTATTATACTACCTACTGGCTTTTTTGACTACGGTGGCTTTCTGATGTCAGAAAGTTTAACTCTTTTTACTTTCCAAGATGGGTTGGCTATTTGAAGTTCCTTGCGTTTCCATATAAGGAGCGTGGTAGTGGTTAAGTGCTCTGCTGCTAAGAAAACAGTCACTTGTTTAAACCTACCCACCACTCCTCGGTGAAAGACTAGGCAGTCTGCTTCCATAAAGAGTACAACCTTGGAAACCACCCTATGGGAAGCATTCTCTAGGGTGTCCTTTAGGTCACGGGGTTGAAATCAAGTCAATGGCAGTGTGTTTGATTGAGAGGAAGGGAGGCCTTCCAAAAATTTGAGATTGGTTTTTCCAACTGTATAGTGATGTGGGGATTTTTGTGGAGGATTGCATTGACTTTATAGATTGTTTTTGTAGCACTTTTCAATAAGTGCTGGACAGTTAACCACAAAGTCAGTGGTTCAAACACACCAGCCACTCAGTGTGAAATTGATCAGACATGCAATCTGATACTTGGCCAATTATTGGTGATTGGAATATGAGAGGTGGAAACAGAGGAATGAGCAGTTGGAAAATAAGACCTTAGAGAAACAAAACTACAGATCACAGACCAATAACTTCTGTATCACAAATACTTTTCAACAACACAAAAGACTATACACACGGGCTTCAAATAGACTGCATCTGTGGAAACAGATGATGGGACAGCTCAATATCATCAGCCAAAACAAGGTGAGGAGCTGACTGTCCAAAGGACTATCAATGGCTCATATGTAAGTTCAAGTGGAAGTTGAAGAAAATTAAAAACAATTCCATGAGAGCCAAAATACGATCATCAGTATTTCCCTCCTACATTCTGAGAAGACCCAGAATTGATTCGACACATTGAACACTAATGACAGAAGACCTGATGAGCAAGGATGTTACTTTGAGGACTAAGGTCTGCCTGACCCAAGCCTTAGTTTTTTGTGGCCTCATATGCATGTGAAAGTTGGATTTTGAATAAGTAAAACAGAAGAATTGATGCGTTTGAATTATGGTGCTGGTGGAGAATACTAAAAGTACTGTGGACTGCCAAAAGAACAAACACAATCAGTCTTGGACAAGGTACAGCCAGAATGCTCATTAGAAGTGGGGATGGTGAGACTTAGTCTCAGGATTGTGGAGAGCCATTCCCTGGAAAAGGGACATCATTATTGGTAGAGTACAGGGGCAATACATCTGCAGTGGGATGGATTGGCACAGTGGCTGCAATAATGGGCTCAAACACTGCTGTTTCATTCTCTCATAGGCTCTCTAAGAATCAGAACCTACTCATAGGCACCTAATAATAACAGCAGCAATTGCTCTAGTACAGTGTTGAATACAGTGGGTTTTCCTAATCTTAAAGGGAAAACTCAATCTACATTTAATGTGGTAGCTGTGTTTTATAAATGCCCTTTATTTTATTGAGGAATTTCTCTTTGACTTCTGACTTGCTGAGCCTTTTCTTATTTTGTTTTTCAATAAAATGTCTATTGGCTTTTGGTAATTACTTTCTCATTGTTGTTCAAAATGATCATGCCAGGTCCCTCACCCTCATTCGCAGGCAGTATAATATTTGCTGTCTAAGCGTGGAGTAGAAACACTTCAAATAGGAATGAAGCGGGTCCCCTCTCAAAGTGAGAAGGACTCCGATCTAGGGAAACATCCTTGTTTCAGAAGGCACAAAAGAGTAGTGTCAGAGTCACAGTTGAGCAGATAGTCCAGCAGTTTTCTGATTAGTTGCCAAGTTCATCCTTGGGTCTCCTTCATATTTTCTACTAATTTACCTCAGGCTACAGCTTTGTCTCAGTATATTTCAGTTGTATCTCAGGCTGTAATTCTGTGTCAGGATTTGTCAAATCTATCTCAAACTCAAATTATAACTATAATTTCTCAAATCTGTCTCAAACTATATATAACTCCATGTCAGGATGTCCACTCAGGTGAATCTGAGAGGTAGAGATGTTTACCAGACTTGTTGTCTCAGGGTCTATTGTATATTCTCTTAGCAGGCGGAAGTCCCTGTTCTGTCCCTCTCACAAACCTTCTGGATGGAGGCCCTACAGAGATTCCTGTGAGAAATGGTCAGTTCACATAGTGCTCCACTTCTACAAGGGCCCGCCAGCTTACAGTAGAAGCAGTCGCTGTGATGAGTACAGCAGTCCGAGTGAAGCCTTTTGGGCAAGAACTTTTCCCTGTTGCAAGGTTTTTGATTATTGATTTTTCTTTTCACTTGCTAAGGATCCGTTGAGAATCATCCTGTCTCTCGCTACCAGTTTATGTATTTTTAGGAATTTGTCCATTTCCTGTAAGTTATCCAATTTGTTGGTGTTCAGTTGTTCATATTATTCTTTTAGAACCATTTTTATTCCTTTAAGATCTGTTGTAATGTCTCCACTTTGGCTTCTAATTTATTAGTTTCTAATTTTATTCCATTGTGATTGAAACAGTTTTCATTTTCATTTTGAAAATTTATTGTGACTTGTTTTTTGTCCTAAGATATGGTGTATCCTGGAGATAGAACTATCTGAAAGTCTGGGACAGTTGGCTAATAGTAATATGTAAATTGTTTATTTTTATTGATTTTTCTAGTTTTTCTTTTCATTATTGAAAATGTTATATTAAAGTCTTCAACCTTTATTGTAGACCTGTTTGTTTCTCTCTTCACTTCTGTCAGTATTTACTTTATGTACATTGAGACTCTTGAGACTAAGCTCATATATTGTAATTATTGTAATTATTATATTTTTCTCATGAATTGATTCTT